GCTCCTGGACGCCTCTCCCTCAAGGGCAGGTTTCTAATCCTCCCCAGGGCTCTGCTCCTCGCCCCCCCCCCCCCCCAACTTGATCAACATCCTCCTGGAGCTGCCGGCCGTGGGGAAATCCCCTCTGCTCCTCCGCGAGATCCCCCGTTTGCAGAGCCCAGGGTGGGAGTGGCCCTTTTGGCCCCAGCATTGCGCTGGGAGTTCCTGTTCTGCTGATTATCCCCCGTTCCCATTGAGAGTCCCTGCGTCCCAGGGCAGAGCCCCCCAGCCTGTACATGCAGCCGGCTCGCGTCCTGCCCAGGGACCGGCATTTACATGTAGCTGGATTCAAACACACCGTGCCTGCTTGTGCCCGTTTACCCAGCATCCAGCTGGCTCTGTACCGGCGACCTCTTCTCCGCGCCACTTCCCACCCCCAATGTCCGGGTCTGCTGCATTCACCAGTAGTGATTTTGTTTTCCTCCAGTCACTGCCAAGATGTTAAATAGCACAGGGCCAAGAACCACTCCCTGCCGCCCCCATTGCAAACAATCCCCCATTTGCAGTTGTGTTTTGAGACCAGTTAGCCACGTTTTAATCCGTTTCACGTGGGCCATGTTCATTTGATACTGTTCTCGGGGTTTAATGGAAACACTGCGGTACTAAGTCAGAGGTCAACGCTATTACCTTTGTCAATCAAACTTGTCATCTCAGCAGAGTGAGTTATCAAATGAGTTTGACAAGATCTGTTTGCCACGAGCCCATGTTGACTTGCATTTAGTCCATTACTCTCCTTTAATGCTTTCTTCATTGAGTCCTAGAGCAGCTGCTCCGTTATCTTGCCAGGGATAAATGTCAAGCTGACTTGGAGGCCTATAATTACCCACGTCATCCCATTTACCCTTTTTCAAAATTTGCACAACGTGCGCTGTCTTCCAGACTTCTGGAACTTCCCCAGTGCTCAAAGACTTACCGAAAATCAGCATTAATGGTCCAGTGATCTCAGCCAGCTCTTTTCAAACTCCCGAATGCAAATTATCTGGAGATGTTGATTTAAAACTATCTAATTTTAGGAGCTTAACATCCTCCACAGCTACTAATGGAACGGAGCGAGTGAGACCGCATCATGTGTTTTCCCCCCACATACAGAAGAGAAATATTGAATGAACACTTCAGCCTTTTCAACATTATTATTCATAACTCCACCATTTCCAGCTAGTCATGGACCAATACAATGGTCAGGATCCTTTTTGTTCCTAACATGTTTAAAAGCTCCTTATTGTCCTTAACTCTGCCGGCCATTGATTTCTTCTTGCGCCCCTTGGCTTCCCTTATCAATTTTCTGCAATTCCTTACTTCTGATTTACATTCATTACTATCAACTTCCCCCTTCTTCCATTTGTTATATATTATTTTTATAGCTGCTTTTACTTCCCCTCTAATAAGCCAGGTTGTTTTTTTTAATCAGCACAGTCTTTTTCCTCGACTTTTTGGGTGTCTAGTGAGGTGTTTTTAAATAATTCCCACTTATCATTCACCTTTTTCTGATTAAATTCTTCCTCCCTGCTCATGGGGTTCCTAATTGTCGTCAGCTTTGTGAAATTGGCCCTATTAACATGCCAAGAATATCTATTGCTGTTCTGGACTTTGTTCTGCTCACACATCATAAATTTGCTCAAGACCTGATCACTTGTACCTAAGCTACTGTTCCCTTCTAGTTCTGCGTCCGTTTCTCTTTATGGGTTAGGACAAGGTCTGACAGTGGATTCCCCCAGGTTGGCTGCATCACTTTTTGAGTTAGGAAATGGTCAGCTATGAATTCCCAGGCTGTTTCAGTCCTGGCAGCATGACCCCGCCAGTGGGGGTCCTGCAGACTGAAGTCCCCCATGAGCACCTGGCTTTTCTCCTACATGTTATAGGGAGGAGCTGCTCCGCCCGTCCCTCGCTGTGATGTGACGGCCTGTAGCCGGCCCCCACGAATACCCAGGCTTGTGCTGTGTCTGCTAGGACGCTGAGCCGTCAGCTTTCGAGCTCCTTTTCTTCCGAGCTATCAGCCAGGAGCACAGAACCACGGGCTCAGCCATTCTCCAGCTTCCGAGGTCCCAATGTCAGCGAGTATCTAGTGCTGGCCTGTCTCAGAGCCACGCCTCATGTCCTGGCTCCAGGCCTGTGAGCCTGGGCCCCTTGCAGCATGAATCCCCAGCCAGGGTCATCTGGCTTCCTTGGACGGTTTCCCCAGACCAGACACACGGATGCCGCTTTGCTGCCTTCCCAGCTTTATTGATTGGGTGACTTGGTTTGTATTGGTTTTTAAAAGGGTAGGAAATGCCCCCATGTTTCCTCATTTCCCCCCCCACAAAAAAATCAGCTCCTGGGGGGAGGGGACAGAGGCTGTAGGGGACCATGGGGGGGAGCAGATAACAGGGAGGCAGCGATAGCAGGGTTGCTGTGCGGCGGGCAGATAACGGGGGGGAAGAATAGGGGTTGGGGGAGGCAGATAATGAAGAGGGCGAGGGCTGCAGCTCAGGTTGGGGGATGTACATTTCACCCCATCTTTCTGCCCCTATCCAGTAGCTGCAGAGAAGGGTCTGGGCCCCCCCTTGGAATAAATAAGTCAGTTGCAGTGGGGGGTTGCTCCCCTGGGTGAGGGGGCAACCCCATGGCTAGTGGGGTGACAGCTGGGGGGGAGCCCAGCCCTCAGAAGAGGCCCTTGCTGCCCCCCTCGAGGTACCCGGCAGGGGGCCCGGGTGGGGCATAGAGGCGGGGGGGCGGGTAGGGCAGGAACGGGGGGAAGCGGAGGTCAGGTGCGGGGGGGCCGTCCAGCCCTGCCCCCAGCAAGCAGCTGACGTCCAGCCCGTAGGGGGGATAGGTAAGGGGGGGGCCGCTGGTGGTTCTGCAATTTGATTGGTCAGGGGGTGGCTTGGCAGGGGGGCAGCTGGGGTCCCCCATGGGCTTCGGGGCAGCAGCTGCTTCAGGAGCGGCACAGGGTGAGCTGCAGAGAGAAAAGAGTGAGGTTAATGGATCAGCCCAGCAGGGGGAGGATAACGGAAAAGCCTGTTGGGTACCATAGCAGGAGGAGGGATGAAACAGTCCAACCAGGGGGAGGGTAAGGGAACAGCCTGTCAGGTACTATGCAGGGGGAGGGGAACGGAATAGCCCAGCAGGGGGAGGGGAACGGAACAGCCTCCCAGGTACTATACAGGGGGAGGGGAACGGAACAGCCTGTCAGGTGCTATTGGGGGGGGGAATGGAACAGCCCAGCAGGGGGAGGGTAAGGGAACAGCCTGTCAGGTGCCATGCTGGGAGGGGTGATGGACCAGCCTGGCAGATGCGGGGGGGAGGGCATTAGGACAATGGAGCAGCCCAATAGGTATGGGGGGTGGAGGGGAGGGAATCACAGGACTCGAAGGGGCCTCGCGAGGTGTCTAGTCCTGTCCCCTCACTCGTGGCAGGACTAAGTATTATCTGGCCCATCCCTGACAGGGGTTTGTCCAACCTGCTCTTAAACATCCCCAATGATGGAGATTCCACCACCTCCCTGGGCAATTTATTCCAGTGCTTAACCACCCTGACAGGAAGTTTTTCCTAATGTCCAACCTAAACCTCCCTTGCTGCAATTTAAGCCCCTCGCTTCTTGTCCTGTCCTCAGAGGTTAACAAGAACAATTGTTCTCCCTCCTCCTTGTAACAACCTTTTACATGCTTGAAAACTGTTCTCATGTCCCCTCTCTGCCTTCTCTGCTCCAGACTAAACACACCCAGTGTTTTCAATCTTCCCTCATAGCTCATGTTTTTAGACCTTTAAGCATTTTTGTTGCTCTTCTCTGGACTCTCTCCAATTTGTCCACATCCTTCCTGAAATGCGGCGCCCAGAACTGGACACAATACTCCAGTTGAGGCCGTATCAGTGCAGAGTAGAGCGGAAGAATTACTCCCGTGTCTTGCTTACAACACTCCTGCTAATACATCCCAGAATGATGTTCTCTTTTGTTGCAACAGCGTTACACTCTTGACTCATATTTAGCTTGTGATCCATTATGACCCCCAGATCCCTTTCCGCAGGACTCCTTCCTCGGCCATCATTGCCCATTGTGTATGTGTGCAACTGATTGGTCCTTCCTAAGGGGAGCACTTTGCATTTGTCCTTATTGAATCTCATCCTATTCACTTCAGGCCATTTCTCCAGGCAGATCATTTTGAATTGTAATCCTATCCTCCAAAGCACTTGCAACTACAGCTCCCAGAAGGCACGGCGTCACACTAGGGAAATGCAGTGTGATGTCACAAGTGGCTGATTCATGATGCGATATCGAACCAAACCTGAACCCTTTCCAATTGTCCCTGAGGGAGAGTCAAAATGTTTGGGCAACAACTGGAAATTTCCAGCTGGAAATTCAGATTTTTGCGGAAACTGCATTTTTTGACAGACAATTCCTGACCTGCCCGTGACCTCTGACCCCTGGACCCTCCACCCCATGGGTGTAGGTAAGAGGCTCTCCCCCGCCCCCATGACCTTTGGTGCCCAGCATGATCCGTGCACTCACCTGGCGTAGCCGGCAGACCCCTGGGGAGGCTGCAGGCCGTGGAAGGCGGCTGGATGCTGGACATACGCCTCGGCACTGGGGTTCACCCCCCCCCAGGGGGCACCCCAGCTCCTCGCTCCCGCCGGGAGGGTAGGAGGAAGAGATGGGGTGGAAGGAGCAGTCAGGGGGGGCTGGTGGCTCTGGGGGAGGGCCCTGGGTGGAGTCACAGGGACCTCGCTTGCAATCTGGGGGGAGGAGGAATGCAAAGGGTTAATGTTGGGGCATGGGGGTCTGGAAAAGCGGGGAGGGGGCAGGGAGAGAGGCTGCTGGGATGGTGGAAGGGCTGGTGCATGGGGCAGGATGGAGGGGGAGAGGGCGCAACAAGTGGGGGTGCAGTGGGAGGGTTGGGGGTCCCATACCAGCCTCATTCCTGGTAGGTTCGGCCACATCGCCCCTCATCTTCCTCTTGATCCGGGCATCTCGCTCCCTGAGGGGGCAGGGAGAGATGGGGGGTTACTGGGCTGACGGCTCCACTCCCCCCAGTGCCCACCTTCCTCTTCACATCCCCCCAAGGCTCCCCCAATTGGTGCCCCCAAGCTCGCGTCTCCCATCCTAGTATCCCACAGCCCCCTCCACCTCATCCCCCCTCCTTGTGCCCCCCAGCACCTCTTGCTGTTCATGCCGTTCTCCCGGAAGCCTTTGGCGAAGGGGTTACTCTCAATCTTCATCTGGGTGATCTGGAGGGGGCACGAGGGAAGAGGGAGGTGAGTCAGAACCCGGGGGGGGGGGCAGCGGGGTGGTCGGAAGTGAGGGGGCAGGAGTGGGGTTGGGCTCACCTTGGGGCTCTGGTAGGCAGTGACGGTGAGGAAGGCCGTCTCAGGAAAGGTGAAGGAGGCACAGCCCCCCCCCACGCCCCCCTGGCCCTCCCGCTCCCACCACGTGCACGCGGGGCTGGTAGCGGTGCATGGAGTGCAGGATCAGCTGGGGAAGAGACAGGGGTTAGACATGGGCACCCGCACCCCGCATGCCCCCCTGCTCCCCCACATCCTGCCCCACCCCTCACCACCCTAAGCCCCTCACCTCTACCCCCTAGGCTCCGCCCCCATCCTCATAGGCTCCGCCCCCATCCTCCTAAGCCCCTCCCTTGCCCTCCTAAGCACTCTCTTTGCCCCACCCCTGCCCACTTACGTGGCCGTGGGGGTCCAGCGTGTTGTTGGTCAGCTTGAGGCGGTGGAAGGACACGGGCTGGCGCATCCAGTGGGCGCCCGAGGCTGGGGAGTCGGGGTGGATGTAGACCCGGTCGGGGGGCCGGAGCTCGGCCTTGCCACTGGCCTCCCAGCGCTGACCCTGCCACTTGTAGCGTGAGGCCCCTGCCGGCACCATGTCCACCAGCAGCAGATACTTCGCCTCGGGGTCCAGCCCCGTCACTGAGACCTTCAGCTGGGGGAACATCCGCCTGCGGGAGGATTCGGGGGGGATGAGGGGGCTCGACGGGGCAGAGGGATACCGGGGTGTGAGAGGCTCGATGGGGCACAGGGATACGGGGTGTGTAGGGATCTATGGGGTGGAGGGATCTATGGGGTGGAGGGATACGGGGGCGTGAGGAGCTCGACGGGGCGGAGGGATATGGGGTGTGAGGGGCTCAACGGGGTGGAGGGATACCGGGGCGTGAGGGGCTCGACAGGGCGGAGGGATACGGGGTGTGAGGGGCTCAACGAGGTGGAGGGATACGGGGGCATGAGGGGCTCGATGGATCAGAGGGATACCGGGGCGTGAGGGGCTCGACAGGGCGGAGGGATACGGGGTGTGAGGGGCTCAACGAGGGGGAGGGATACGGGGGCATGAGGGGCTCGATGGATCAGAGGGATACCG